TCTGAAGAAGGGTCTAGGCCCAAAACCTCAGCCTTCCTGCTCCTCTGATGCTGCTTGGCCTGCTGTGTTCATTCAGCTCTACACCTTGTTATCTCAGACTGCACATTGGACTGACTTAGCCATCAGACAGTAAATAAGAGGAAGAATGATTCCTTTTAACTGTTAAACTCATACAGAATCAGGAATGTAGGTTCTGTAGTAGTTTGTTAAACCAGTATGTTCATGACACAGTAACTCTTAGCTTTCCTCACCCAAACATGGTCATTTTAAATGGGTTTGACAACCTTAGCTGCAGTTTGCTTCATAATGCTGGACTGTGCATTGTTTGAGTCAAAAGTTATGTTATTTGCAATATTTACAATTTATTCAAAAGAGTGTTCTCTGAGACAAAATTGGGCATAAAAAGAAGCCTGTATTTTTGAGCTGCAGTAAGATGAGGGGAGGCAGTGCGTAGTTAAACATTAGAAGATGCAGCACTAACTTTTAGGCTGCTGTACACAGAGATGAACAATATTTCTTGTGAATGCAAGTGCTTCCTATTTTAAATTTTCACAGAATCCCTACAGGGCAGGAAGATGCCATTCAGCCCATTGAGTTTGCACTGACCCTCTGAAGAACATCATACCCGGGCCAAGCCCACCCCCATCCAATCCCCACAACCCTGCATTTTCCATGGCAAATGCATCTAAACTGCATATACCTGGACACTGCGGGCAATTTAGTATGGCCAATCCACTTAACCTGCACATCTTTGGACTATGGGGGGAAACCAGATTACCTGATTGGTTGATTTATTGTCACATGTACCAAAATACAGTGGCAAGTTTTGTTTACAAGCAGTACAGGCAGATCACAGCAAGCAAAGGATGTACTGATCAAAAAGACTTAGAGGCATACAGGTTACATTGCAGGTTACATTATTTGAGGTTAGAGTCCATTCAACAGTCTGATAACGACTGGAAAGAAGCAGTTCCTGAGCCTGATTATGCGTGTTTTCAGGCTTCTGTATCTTCTGCCTGACGGAAGAGGTTGTAGGAAATCATTACCGTGATGTGATGGGTCTTTGATGATGTTGGCCACCTTTCCGCAGCAGCGAGTCATGTAAATAAAGTCCATGGATGCAAGGCTGGCTTCCGTGATGGTCTGGACTACTCACATCACCTTCTGTAGTTTCTTATGGTCCTGGGCAGAGCAGTTGCCAGACCAGGCCGTGATGCACCCAGACAGTATGCTTTCAATGGTGCATCTATTGAAGTTTGTGAGGAACTTTATGGACATGCCAAATTTCCTGAGCCGCCTGAGGAAGAAGAGGCGTTGTTGTGCCTTCTTGACTATCGCATCTACGTGGGAAGTCCAGGACAGGTTGTTGATTATTGTTACTCCAAGCTGTAAGTGTACAGTGAGTACAGTAGGGGGCTGAGGACACATCCTTGGGGGGCTGCAACGTTGAGTGTTATTGTGGAGGAGGTACAGTTACCTATCTTCAGTGATTGTGGCCTATGGGTCAGAAAGGATCCAATTGCAGAGGGCAAAGCCGAGACCAAGATCAGGGAGTTTTGAGATCAGCCTGGAGGGGAAAATGGTGTTGAAGGCAGAGCTGTAGTCAATGAGCAGGAGTCTCACTTAGGTGTCTTTGTTCTCCAGATGTTCCAGGGATGAGTGCAGGGCTAGGGATATAGCGTCATCTGTGGACCTGTTATGTCGGTTGGCAAATTGTAGGGGATTGAGGTAGGTTAGGAGAAACTCACTTTGGCATGGAAGATCATGCAAACTCCACACAGACAGTCACCCAAGACTGGAACGGAATCTGGATCCCTGTTGCCGTGAGGCAGCAGCACTAACCACTAAATTTTGCAAATGAGAACCAATGGAGAACATGAGGAGATTTGGACAAGTAAAGCAGTTTGGCATCCTGATATTCGTAACCTATCACTGTGACATTTGTGTTAAAATTTGGTGCCTGACAAATGGTTAAGGGAAGATATCAAGGGAAGTTGAGGATAATCTGAAAGCTTTTGGCAGTGATTTTTGTTCATGGATTGGGGCAGGGGGAGAGACAGAGTCAGGAGAAAATCCTGACTCAATGAACACAACTTTTCAAACCAGCCACCAGCACTTCCAATTTCTGGTGTGTTGGGATTTGGATTGGGAGTGAGGTCAGGTGACCTAGGAAAAAGGCTGACTGGTTCCTGAGGTGGGTTGTGAAAAAAATCTGCCTCAGACCCCAGTATAATATGTAAAGTCTATTAATAAAGATTGAAGCAAAAAACAGACATTATGCTCTCATGTTCTCATTCGCTATGCGCCATCCATGCTAGCCTATGCCCCTGCAGCCACCCCAATGTTCCCTCATTCCCCATGTCACAGTATGACCATCTACAAAACCTTATGGCTCCTCCTATCCCCATTTCAACTTATACCCCTGCACCCATGCCCATGGTCCTTCTTATACTCTGTGCTTTCTTGTGTCCCTCCCACATGGTGCCTTACACTTCATATACTTCCAATTAGTACTATGGCCCTTTATAGCCAACTCAGTATCAACTCATATCTCCTAGCTACCACTCTTTGTGTCTCCATGCCAGCTCATGTGTTACCTGACATGGGCATTTATCAGGAAGCACATGACACTTATCAATTTATCAATTATTTCACAATTGAAGCAAAACCCTTATGAAAACAAACACTTCACTTATCTCACTCAAGTGT